TATTTATATAAATATATATATATATATATATATATATATACATATATATATATATATATATATATATATATATATATATGTATGTATGTATGTATATATATATTATATATGTATATATATATAATATATATATATATATATATATATATATATATTCATATATATATATGTGTATGTATGTATATATATATATATATATATATATATATATATATATATATATATATATATATGTATATTATATATATACATTATATATACATATATATATATATATATATATATATATATATATATATATATATATATATATATATATATATATAATATATATATATAGAATTATATCCTAATGTAAGCAAGAATCGTGTCCCAATTAAATAATCAAGAAGTATTTATACTCTTTCTTCCCCTGAACTTGCATCTCTTTGGATTAGACGACCAAACGCTAGCAAACTACATGACTTCTGACGATTTTCATGCTATCAGTTTTTGATGACTAGAATATGAATAATTTTTTTTTAAAGAAAATCTTGTTTGTCCTTTGCTATGCTTAGGCGTGTGTTTGGGGCACATGAGTAGATATTTTTGTCATTGTTGGAATGAACAGCAACTTGTTTTTGTTCATGTCTTTTTTTTTTTAGTTCATGTTATTTTTTTATGTGTTTGAACATGTTAAGCAAGTTCATTCGTTCTCGGAGTAACCCACAGACATTTGGCAAACACAGTACTGTAAAACGGTTGCAGAAGGTGTAAGATTTATTTCGTGTAATGAAATTTAGATCTCTTTTCTAATTATTCCTTTCGTTTTCTCTCTCTCTCTCTCTCTCTCTCTCTCTTTCTCTCTTCTCTCTCTTTTTTTTCCTCTCTCTTCTCTCCTCCTCCTCCTCTTCTCTTCTTTTTCTCTTCTCTCTTCTCTCTCTCTCTCTTCTCTCCTCTCTCTTTCTCTTTCTCTCTCTCTCTCTCTCTCTCTCTCTCTCTCTCTCTCTCTTCTCTCTCTCCTTTCTCTCTTTCTTTCTTTCTTTCTCTCTTTCTCTCTCTGTATTCAAACTGTATTCAGTTATACCCTTCTTCGCTAATATGCTTAGATCGCCCATCCCGTAAAGCAGATGCATATAATGATATCACATTTATCTGATTATCTTGTAAGTGGTATCCGGTTTGTGAAGATAATCCAAGCTATCTTTACAAGCTTGGATAATGGATTGTATTTACTCGTACGGGAATTAGATATACTGTATGTATATGTGTATTTATATAGACTCATATATATGTTTATGTATTTATGTACTTTTCTAGTAGCCTTATCGTCAATATTATTCAAGCTGGTGCAGTCTCTGTCTGATTTTTTGTCATGGCAGCTTGACTATGCCATCATAAGTAAATTTTAGATATATGTCTTTTGTTAAAGGTCAGGAATAAGATTTCGTAACTTTTTACGCATTTTTGAACAATTAAAAATCTCAAGCTTTTAGCAAAATTACAAAATGATTCTCGAAAAGTTTAAAGGGAAAATATTATTAATATTACAAATATCGTTCTTTGTTCTGCATATTTCAACAAAGTAATTTTAGATGAAGATAAGTTCGTTATCCCTTCTCTGTGTATATTCATTGAATTGTGTTTATTTAAAGGAAAACTTTTTTGGAACGCTTTTACTTTCTGTGCATGGCAGGGTCACCATAAGGAGAAAATTAAAAGTTTTGGTTCATGAAGTTTCTGAATCAATGCTGTTTTTTTTCTTTACTTTTTTTTCTTTTGTTTTTCAGTTTATAATTTTGTTGATAATAGTATGTAGGGGTTTGTCGTAGGCGATTTGTGAGGTTTGATTTTAAATAGAAATATTAAGACGCCTTTGTTAGGTCGCTGGCGTAGTTAGCAAGTATATTTTTTCTCACGATATGTAACACTAAATACTGTGATAGCGGCAATTTCTAACCAGCGGCCATAGTATCTAAATATTGCGCTTTTCGCTCTAGAAATGCTGTGATGTAGCCATGCCTTACAAAAGCAGTTTACTTAGCATAAAAGATTAGATAGTTTACACCCGTGTCCCCCCAAAGCAATTTTAACCCCCTGTGGAAACTAGAGAAGTCCCCTCCCCGCCCCTAGTAGCTAACCATCGTAACTATGCGTCCCTTTGTCAGCAGTGGTTGTTGGCTCGGCTGTAGGTAGTCCATGTGTAGTAATAGTGGCTGCGATCATTTACAGGCACGGTGATGATTTCAGGAACATGGCGAACACCCGAGCTCCTGACACGTACGTGAAGCTGGTGCTCATGTCCTCCAGCGGTCAGGAGATCGCCCACAGCAAGACCTCGGTGCGGCGGGGACAGCCCAACCCGCTGTTCAAGGAGACTTTCATGTTTCAGGTAATTTCGGGTCTTTTGTGATGGTGTCGTATCCCGAGGGAGGGTATTTAAGGAAAGTAAAAGATGATAGAAATGCGTATAATATTTATTGTTTACTTTGTTGTAGCAGTAGAGATATGCGAATCCTAGTACGGTACAATCTCATTTTCTCTTCCAGGTGGCACTGTTCCAGCTACCTGACGTGACGCTCATGGTGTCTGTGTACACCAAGAGGAGTATGAAGAGGAAGGATATGATTGGCTGGTTCGCTCTGGGCCTCAACAGCTCGGGAGAAGAGGAACTAGCTCACTGGAACCAGATGCGAGACTCAAAGGGAGAGCAAGTCTGTCGCTGGCACGTTCTTATCGAATCCTAAGACACTCTCTCGACCGAGATTCCCTGCCTTCTAGCTTCGAGTGTATGAGGGGGGAGCATCCTCATTGAAGGCGTCATCATTTACCTTGGACACGCCTGGAGGTTTTCACTGAAATATGCTGAAGAGTTTTTGAGTCTTACCTTTCTCTAGGCCGTGCAAAAGGGGCGCTAACTTGTTTAATGCACTGTTCACCTCCCTCCCTCTTCGGACGGAAGGCCTACCTTGGTTTCGGCCGTACCTTGAGTCTTTCCCTTGTTCTTTGTCACATTTTGGGTCTCAGGTTCTCCCTGACTCTTGGCCTCTTGAGTCTGGGTTCACATTCGACCATACATCCCACTGCTGGGGTCGCTGACCTTGCAAATGGAGTGTGTGTCAACGCATCATCTCCAGAGTTACACATAGCATTGCAATCTGCCTCACAATGTCATTAGCTTGTATTTATTTGGTTACTGTTTCCAGCCCTTTCTTGAAGAGTATATAGTGGTTCAAAAGAACAATAAATAGATATCATCTTGAGACATGTGATATTTTGTCTTGAGTGTGAAATCTTTATATAAAATTATTCGTAATAATGGTTAAAAAGATGCCTGGTACATTCCAAAAACAAAGGCTTTAATCTGTGATTTCTCAGAGTATATATATAATATTTATTGATCAAAAATACTGTAGACACTATGAAGACGGAGCTGGTCTCCCATACTGTATCGTCCCTGTACTGTACCTTGTCGTTACTCTTTATATTCACAATCCCTCCCTGCTTAGCTAGAAATACGAACTCTGACGTCACAACGAGCATAAGAAACCGTGATTGGCTGCTTCGAGTGGAGGCTCGTGTCCACTCTCACGATCGATCGCTTCTGTGCTGATTTCAGAAACGGCAAATATTACTCGCATTTCACACTAATACAAAATATTGCCAAACTGCAAATCCTCTTTGAAACCAATGCCTTTTTTGGGAGGAAAATGCATGTAGAATCCTTAGTACATCTCTTTCTTTATCTTCTTTATCTTCATGGTCCTTCCTGTGGGTTCGTTTATCTTCACCCTTCTGTTTCGAAGCAGTTTCACTTGGCTTGGTTCACACGTGTTAGGTTTATGTCTTCCTGGTTAAGAGATGTAGGTCTTTAACTTTGAGAACTATATTATCATGTTTCAAGAATTCATCCAGCATGTAACTTAGAAACTTTTATATGTAAGGTGGATGTTTTTGTATATTCATTTATTCAAGAACCAAAAGAATAATAATCAGCAGCAGCAGCAACGTATGTGTATAACTTTTTTAATCCATCTCGCAAGCAGATCAGTATAGGTGACATAGTTTGTAAAAGTGTCTCCGTGTGTTCCAAGAGTGAAGCACAAGAACACAACAAGAAGAAAAAAAGTTACTGGTTGTAGTGCTCTTTAGTCTGTTCACCAGGGTCGGATTCGACTCTGCAATATAAAGGAGAGTAAATGATTTCGCGAGAAATGCTGAATTTCGATATTAGCTCTAGAGACGTAAAGAGGTTTGAACTATTGTATGCATTGTGTTTTAAACCCCTTGGATAGATTATACCCTGTAAACCTCCCTGCAAGAGTCGATAGATGACAGAAATCTCCCACTGCTTAAAATCACGTATCACTGCATTCTTAATGTCACACATATTGTGCAACATTTTGGCCCATTGCGATATATCTCAAGAGACTTGGCTGCACCTGCATAACAATATTTTGCACGAAAATAATGACAATCAGACATTTACAGCAACTTTTCCAAATTTACCAATCGGGATAGCAGTTTTCCTGAACATGTTTTAAACTCGTTGGTTTGAAGGAGAAAAAGATATAGATATGTAAATATTAGTATACTTGGACCCCTCTGGAGGTACCTTAAGCCTATTCTGTAAGACGAGGAAGACGCCTCAGAGAACTAAGATCCTTAATGAGAGTCCAACCGCGATTTATCTTTTTCCCAAAGTAAATAAAAAGAAAATATAGCTAAAAAAAAAAAATGTGCTAAACCTATCGCTAATTATTGTCTTCAACATTGCAAGTGAAATCGCTGTTGTCTTGTGAAGGATCCATCTCCATGGGCTTCTGCAAGGCGTGTGTAATCACGTTGATGGCGGGGAGTGAGGAGTAGAGAAGCCTTTGGTTAGTGGAGTGAATAACCCAGCTCTCTTTAAGTGGATAAAATGTATAATGCTGTGTAGTCCTTTGCGAGAGCCTGGGAGATTTATGATGATATACCACGGCTAGTTATTGTGTCTATTGGCAGTCTATTCGGTATTGATAAAACATTTTTTTTCTGATGTGCACTGCTTACATTGCATACTATTGCATAACTAATTGATATGCACACGATACGCCTCAATGGTGTTGCTCATTGGGCGATGATCTCGAAAACAACTTGGGTATTCATTCTCAAAAAGATTTTCCTGAAATGAAAAGAATTTTTTCACGATTGAAACAAAGGCAGCCAGTCTCTCCTCTCCCGCACAGCTTCTAAAGCATTTCCTTGTGCTTGTTACTTTTAAAGTAAACATTTTCTAGTGTTACATTATTTTTGTACTGACATTTCCATATAAGTCTGTACATATGTCTACTCTTTGTCTTTTTGCAACACATCAAGTTACGTGTTTCAGGTTCTAGTCTTCGAGGTTTGTGCTCTATATATTGTATGTAAACATATATGTATTGTGTATGTACATATTGCATTCTTTCATATTGCTCCCCCGTGCTCCCATCGCCACTACGCTTAACAAACGCCTACTTACGCAGGTTTTCATTCATAAAAGCCTTGGCTCGGTCGACGGCAGGATTATCGCGCTGCTCTCTTCATCATCTTCTTCTTCTTCAACTTCTCTTTCTCCTTCTCCATCTTCTTCTCTTCTCTTCTCTTCTTCTCTCTCCCTTCCTCTTCTCCTCTTCTTCTCCTCCTACTTCTTTTACTACTGCTACCAACTATTACTACTACTACTACAACTACTATTACTACATTTTTCTGTCCCACCTTATTTTTATTTAGCTCGAACAACGTTGGCAGCAATGTTTTTTTTATATTTTTTTCCTTTTTGGTGTGCGAAAAACTGACAGTGATTTAATATTATTGATACTGTTAGCATGGTTATTACTAAATAATTATATTGATATAATCATTATTACCATCAATGTCATTAATATTATCTGTACCATAAGACGATTACTATTACACTGAACACAATTACCAACTATTGTTATTTCAACTGTCGATTCAAACCACAGTTTCGAACGCCGTCAGACTCGCCAGATTTTCGTCCGGTTCCCTGGCACCGGAAGCGACTTAGGCTTTTAAGAGTCCGAAACCCGCTAACGTAGGGGACTTAAGAACAATGCGATCTGTTGGTAGGCACCCAACGGTGGCGCACCTCTGCTGCTAGGCCTTATGTCATGCCAGCGTTTAGTTATAATGAAGTGTACATTACTCTTAGGAAAAAAGGATAGTCGTTGTGATAATTAGGTAGCAACATTCAATGCAAATAACGGTTAACTTAAGCTGGCGTATTTGTGTTGGGAGTGATCCTGTCTGTGATCTTTCGCTCGTGTTCTGACATCAAGATTTCACATAAAAGGTTGCGAGGATAAAATATTTTGGTGTTTGGGAAGGCTCTTACGGGGGATTCAAGACATGGGACGAATATTCACATTGTTTTTTTTTTCTTGTGTTTTCATATGAGTAGTTTTATATGTGTGTTGCGTGTGTCTTGCGAGCCCGATAAAAAAAATATTATTAGCCTTTGGTATCGTGTGGCTCTTACTATATACGAATGTATCGTTACGCATAAGGTTGTTTCTGACACGAAGGGATTCCGATCCTCTCGATGTTCATTTGTCTTGCCGTTTTTGTAGGGTTGTATCAACCTCCTCCTTCGCAAGCTCTCGAAGGTGATTTTTTCTGGGGATTTTTTTCCCTTGTCGGCCCACGAGAATGACTCCTGCCTGGTGAGACTGGGAAAGCTGGGCGAGGTGCTGGAGCCTCGACTTCGTCTGCACGACCGCTCCGTAACGAAGACTGCACGCCCTTATTCGTGCTCGGATGATGCTACACTGGGCTTTACGTACTGGTGGAAACTATAGGGATTCGAACGTCATTTGCATAAGAGAAAAGGTTTCAAACTCAGAGCAGCAGCTTCGTCAAACGGGATTTTAGCGTGTGCATTTCGTCGTCGGGATTCTGACGCCTCGCCCGTTGCCACATGCAGACGTCGATCTGTGTGGCGAGTTCGTAACAGATTTTCCATGCTTGATCTATTTTGCGTTTCCTAAAAGTGGTGGTCCATTTAGAGCGTTCTTTGAGGGTCCAAATTCCCCCTTTCATGATAGGAACGGAATGCGAGGTTTTGATGTTTGGACGTTCCGAAGTCTACTCTCTCCCCGTGACTTTCCCGAATCTGCGAGACACGAGCAGATTGGCGGCTGAAGGACGAGGTTTTGGTGGGCATCTCTGGCCTTTGCGGTGGTGTTGGGTGTGGCGGTGGCGGCGGTGACGAACTGGTGGTGAAATGGTGGGGATAGTGAGCTGAAGGAGTGGTACCTGTTGTGGGTTAGGGACTTCGTTGTGTTAGTGTGTCGACTGACCGTGAGAAACACTGTTGCACAAAGCTTTTTTGGCAGATCTGCTCACCCTCAGGGCGCGGGAGGTGCGTCGTTTTATCACCCGATTTATTTTGCAGTTACTTTTCGTTCGTTTTTTTTTTTTAGAGCTGAAACTAACTTTACTAAAAACACACAACACACACAACACACACACACACAC